TTAATCTTTCGGCCATTTAAATAGACAATGCGTTATCTATTCTAAAATAAATTGGCGATTACTGCATTGATCATGGTATACTTTATTGTGAAGATATTATAATATGTGTTATTGTAATGATGCAATTGATTCAAAATTGTTTAGTTGAGTATTTTTAATGTTTTATCAATAAACATTTCGGTAATTAAGTTTTGAGTATATATAAAAGTTCACTTTATATAATTTCAAACTAATTGCGAAATAAGGTTCTGTTACTTGATTGCATTTTTATTATTTTTTATTATAATAACTTCATAATCATGTAAATATACAGAGTGTTAAAAAAAAGGATTACATATTTTGGGAGCAGGTAGTATTGATCAAAACAAGAAAAAGAGTCTAATTAACATGGGTCCTAATTAATATCTTTGAAGATACAGACTATCTTTCTATTTGAGCTCTTTGTCCTTTTCTTATTGGTTGTGTTACCTTTACGATGCAGTAAACAAAAGAGTACTTTACTAGTTTTGCTATAGTAACATTGGGTTTGTAGGTATCAGTATAAGATTATATTAAGAAGAGAGCAATAAAGTTTTGTTAGAGTGTGCAGTTTCTCTGAGATTGAAAAATGCGTGACAATGAATAGGAACCACATAGAGCATCTCCTATAATGCTGACTGCAAAATTAGTAAGACCTGGTACTGTAAAGGTGACATCAATAAGAAAAGGACAAAAAGCTTAAATAGAAAGATAGCCTGTATCTTCGAAGATATTAATTGTAGGACCTATGTTAATTTTTTTTCTTGTTTTGATCAATACTACCGGCTTTCAAAATATGTGATCCTTTTTTTAACACCACAATGATTGATTTCAAAATCTTTGTTTCTACTTTCTTTGTACAATTAATTGTAAAAAGTATTGTAATTAATAATAATCTTTTCTGCTTCTATATTCATTTTTTTACTTTTGCTCGTTTATTGCGAAATTTAATTATCAATCCCAGCTTGTTAATTATACCGGCTTTGAAAACTTTTGTGAGAAAAAGATGTTGGATGGGCGGAGAACAGGTATGCCGTTAATATTCTATGCAAGGTTCTAAGTCAGTTGCGATGTGCAACTTATGTTCGGAATAAGGACGCGCGACGCGAAGCAACGAAACGGAACAGCAGATCTTATAGCTCCGTTACAACTAGCTAGCTGACCGATCCCAACGAATACAACCGGTGGTACCACACCCGCTCGAGTATTTCGAGCGGAATGATGGAGAGATAAGCAGGACTCGCTAACTCGCTCGCTCGCTCGCTGTGACACGCTCGAACGAGTGAGCGCACGCGCGTACGCTGGTAACGAGCTCTCAGACTTGTGTTCGTAGACTTACGTTACTTTGAACCAGATGCTTGTTCTCGCACCGCGATTCGGCGCGATATTTAGCTCGGCAGCCGCGGCAGGTGGTAATTTTTAGGCGGTCAGCCGGTGCATGATTCAATAAACAAATCGCTCAAAGTTAAAAAGAGTGTAATTTTGCATAAAATCAAGTTTTAGAAGAAAAAAGGGAACAATTTTATTCGTATAGAAACTAAATTTTAAATTTTTCGAAAATAAAAAATTGTTTTATTTTGGTATAAAAAGTTTCTTTCATATAAATTTTAGACATGTTAATTTATAATGCACTACTGAACATTACTGTCGCAATAGCGCTTTAACATTGAATTACAGATAAAGATAAAATAATTTTTTTAAATAAAGAATCATAGATATAAAATTTCCAGCTAAAATGCAAAGAAAAGTTTGACACGTTTTTTGAAGCTCTTTAAACACTTGATTGATTAAATACGTCGCTGAAATTTTGCGAGTGATGAAGATAGAAGACTTTTGGCAAATATTGAAGGATGATGGAGAATATTGAAGGATTGCTCCAAGTTTCAGTATTCCAAATTATTATTAATAATAATAAAATACATATTACTTTATATTATTTGCTTGTCGCTTCGAGTAAACTGCACTTTTCGCCAGTAACAATTGACGATGAGAATATCAGAGTCGTTAGAAGGCACAATGGAAATTGTTGATTATTTAAAAAAGAGCTTTTACGATAATCGGTAAGCTAGTAAATGTTTCGTTTTTCCATCGCCGGGGGCAAGTTGAAATTTGAACAGATTATGATTTACGATACGAGAATATATATGTCATTGTTAGTTGTATTTCAAAAAACGTATATTGGACGTATATTATTACATATACAGTATTAAGTGGAGCGAAAAAATATCCACTGAATGTGAATCGAAAAACTGATCTTTTATGGCTGACTTGTTTGTTTCTATTTATTCCAACTATTTATTCAAACACAAAATAAATATGAAATAAACATAAATAAAGAATTACTTTGTTGTACTTTTAATGTCCATAAAAAACATGTGCAAAAAATATTTTCCTACAAGCAATATTCTTATTGTCAATATTTTTCCCTATTTTTTATTTAAATATGCTTTTGAATAAATGATCATGTCAACTGTTCTAAATCACGAATTTTATTTTCACGTTGAAACGTCAACGTCGCTTTAAATATTACATATCACAAATGGACATGGAGGTTTTGTTCTATATTCAGTTCAAGAAGTCCTATATGCGTATACGGAAATACATCGTATATGTATAAGAAATCGATCTATCGACAACTAGCGGTTCTTCAACCGTTGCTGCCTTGCTTTTAAAGAAACTAACCGGTACGGTTAGTCGACGAAAGCGTGTTATGGTGATCTTAATTATTGTTTGAGGTAGCGTACGACAAGTATATACGTTTGATAGAACACTGGAAGCAATTAAAATGTTGCCTAACATGATCTTTATTCTCGTGAAATGTCTTCGACAGAAATAATGAGCCGAATCATAATAACTTGGCATTGTTGGAAATTAAGGAACAAATAAATCACAACTAAGTCTTTCGTAAAGACCGACGTACTTAAAAAGGCTAAAAGGCTAGTTTATTGTTAATTGTAAGAAAATGCAATGATAAGACATAGATATAGACAGACAAACAGATATACACACTTTATTGTAGCCAAATAATGCACATATGTAACCCTGTGTGGGCTGGCAATACGATAGGTTTTTATCCTTAATTAATTCACGCATATTTTTAAGGTATGATTATTCGTAAAGCACGCAGTAATCAAGTATTTCAAAAAGAAACATTTAAAAGTCTATACAAACAGTTTTTATTTTTTAATCAACTATATGTATAATCGTCATCATATTATTGATAACAGTTTGCCACTCTGTTAGCAAATTTTCAACTCCTTTCTTAAAGAATTCTCGCTCCTTTACGGCAAAAATAAACCGCTTAGAAGCCAAATTGATTAACTCTTTTTGCAATTTTTCCAATTTTAGTACCAAAGCACATGATTGGTTCTTAACTTTTCATAAATAAAATTAATTGATAGAGTTACTCAGTTTGGCTTTTGAGCAGCTCATAACTCTCTACGTAATTTTGAATGGCATTAACTTTTTGAAATATTTTTCCTGTAAGCAAATGCTCTAAAGATTTAAACAAACGATAATCAGATCAGATAGATATCACATATTTTTTTGCTGTAGTTGTTGCATTTAATCCATATTTATCATATTTCTCTCTAAATGTTGAAATCCTGACGTTTCATTTAAATAAGCGATTTAAATTTAGTAAAGAAAAATACAAAGTTGAATACTTTAACACAAATGGCAGACAAAAAAATACTGTTTATACTATACTGCTCAAGTAGAAACTGATGAGAATAAAAGACTTATAAAATACTTGAGTACTTATGAGTATCGTTAATATTATTATATTCTCAAAATATTTTTAGCTTCTTAATAAAATAAGTAACAATAAATATGTACAAAAGTAATTTAATAAATTTTATATATATATGAAGTACGTAATTACTCATATAATGTTTTGAACGTTGCGTGAAACACGTTTGTGCATGTTAAAACTTACTTTCGTAATTGCACATGCAAAAGGTGAGAATAAGCGGATATTTTTATATTATTACAATAATTATAATGAAAAAGCTGAGATTTTAATGAGCAAATTTAATATTATATTTTAATTAGCGCAAATTATTTTATTTAATTGTTTGATCTTTTTTTATTTATTATTTCTTTATTTTTGCATCTTTACCACATGTCCTCTATTTATAAACAAAAACTTACAAGATCAATATTCAATTTAGTTATTAGCAGATAATTTATGAATACCTATAAAACATTTTTTGTACAAAATAAATAAACATGCGAAAGAAACATTGAGCGCATTATGTCGCATTCAAACTAATCACCGTTCTCAATGCCTACATATAGCTGATCACGTGATGTCTGTCGTTTGGCGGTTTGGAGTCGCACAGTCGTTCCTTGTGTATTACCCTTGCTGCTTTTTTCTCCGGCCAATAATATTCACATATACGAGATCTTCATTAATTACTGTCGAACCTAACTCGAACAAAAGTGAAATAAAATAAAAAATAAATACGTTAAACAAATTGAGATATTTGATAAATTTTAATTCACAATAATATTGTCCTGCATTAGAATTTTCAATATAATACAATTATATAAATATTACTTTTATACATAATTATATAAATAATCTCGATTAATTCAATTTTCAAAGACGCGGAAATGTCCTTTATGCCAATTGCCGCGTTTCCATTGACACAAGTGAACATAGAAGTCTATTTCCGTGCTTTATTATCGTGAAATTCTTAATTCCGAACCGAATGTAGTTGAGATGCGGTGCAGATCTGCGGTGCGAATCTTCGATGATAATCGAGCAACCGTGTTGCAACAGTGCTGAACGCGAATTTGTCATTGTAAGCAAAAAAGAGCGGCGGAGAGAATCACCGAAGGCCGTGACTGCGCGTACGATCCAATGTGTAACAGCGTATCCCGCCTTGGTAGCCCAGGCTCTCTGTTTCACGAGTACGCGCGTATTTTGCGACCGAGCATGACCGAGTCTGGCCGACGTTCGCCGAATAAGCAGCGGACCGAGAGCCCAATACGCAGCTCGTCGCGCGTGTCAGTGCGTGTACGTGTGCGCGTATGGCGGAGAGCGTACATTGGTGTATATAGTGTACGCGAGAGTCGGTGCGCCTCTCGGCACAAATTGCGAGTAAAATGGAAGCAGAATTTCGCTGCGAGGTTGAGGTACGCCGTTGAGAACAGTGAACATGGGAAGGTCCAAGTTTCCCGGGAAGCCGCCAAAGACGGCTACCAGGAAACGGATCAAGGTGCTCGGCCAGCCTGAAGCAGCGCAAGGCGATCCGGTAACCGTCGCCGAAAACATCTACTACGGACTTTCCCTGTTCAACGAAACGTTCGGTGACAACGAGAAGGTAAGGGGGAAAGAAAGAATCATCCATTCGTTTGTCGTTTGGCACTCGCCGCCGTTTGCCATCGCCGCCGAGGTCGCGGCAAGATCGACAGAGCGTTGCGTTGCGTCGCGACGCGACATGCCGCGTCTCACCGTGAGACTCCGCGACACTCACGCGTATTGTTCGACAAACGTTACGAGGAAACTTACCGTGGATATGCGAGAGTAACGGAGAGCTTTGGCGCCGCGACAGCGCGCAAGTTAACCTATCGGCGGCGAGCCGACCCGCGGTTGGCGGAATGGCAGGTGCGAGTTTGCTCACGGAAAATGATTTGTTTCTTTAGCATTGTCTTTCTCTACCGATGCGGCAGTTTTAGCATTAGCGATTTGTATATCTTTATCCGCAGCTGCTGTAGTTGCCATTCTGGTACAGAGTATGTCATTGAGATATGTCTGTGTAAATTCTTCTTTCCTAACTTCACAGCTGAGAAATATATAATTGTCAATTGTCAGTGAGATTTTGTAGAGAATAAGCTATCGGGTGAAGAAAATAAATGTAATGCACAAGTCACTTGTGTTTGTTTACACTATGACAGTTTAACGTGACAGCTGATAATACATATAAGTTATCGATCGTATAGTATAATTATCCACTATTTTGTCATATATAATGCTTACATAGACAATTTTTCCATAGGAACATCCACCATTCCATGGATTTAGCACTAAAGAGGCTAATCTTTCTGCATCTTACATAAAGACACAGCAACACGATGCAGAGAAGATCACTGATAAATTACCCTCTGTTACAATCAAAAATCTTGCACCACAGTCTAGCACGAAGAAGAATACTACTGATGTTAAAAATTCTCCCACAAATACTGAAAATGGCACAGAGAAGTTTACCGACATCAATTCAAAACCAATTCAAGATACCACACAACTCGATACAAACTTGAATGTCAAGCATACTGTAAAAATTCACCGAGCTAAAAATCGTAAGAATTGCAAAAACATGAAATTTTCGAATTATTTAACAAATCCAGTGCTAAAATCAGTGAACAACATCTTGGATCAACATCAAAGAACTAGACAGTTACGTAACAGTACTGCCAAAAGATTGCTTCAAAGGGCAAAATCAAATGGAAGTAACACGCGTAATTTGGTAATTCAATCTGGAGAAAAGCCTAGTACTGTGAGAAAATTTGTTTTACCTGTTCGTAGTGTGCATTCATCTAGGGTTATAAAGCCAAATAAGAGATTTATCGAGGAATTGGAAGAAATCTCTACAGAGCATAGCGAGAATGAAATTGGTACACATGTTAAAAAGGCTAAATTAAATTCGGATAAGCTCGGCAATCAGGAATCAAAATTGAAGGGAGACGCAGTTAACAAATTATGTACAAAATTTAAAGATAGAGATGCACGAACCAAGTTGAGAAGAGTCATTCAGAACGCAGACTCCAATAACGAGATTGTAACTCAGCAAATAAAAGATGTGGAGAAATCAGCGAGTTCTGTACAAAACGCACAAATATCAAAAATTATTCATAGAGAAGTAAAGAAATCCCATACTATATCGTGTAAGAATAAAGTAAGTAGTATATCTGACAACTCTAATAACAATCAGGAATACTTACAGAATTTGAGTAGAACAGCACAAACTGCGAAATCAATAGTTCTCAGAAATCAGAAGCAGATTTCTATTCCTACAAAAGTTCTTCCCGATTCCAATGTTCCAAACTTTGAGTCTTCCAGAGTTCAGACGAGATCAGGAACTCAAAATGAAATAGTGAACGATTTAAATAATCCAGCGAGCTTTGAAAGTGGTGCAGGATCGATGGAAGGTAGCTGTATGAAAACTGAAGATCACCCCGAAAATGGTAGTAGAACTACGATTAGCGCGTTGAAGAATCTTGATGCGGAAAACAATTTATCTGAAAGCGAAACCGAGCATAGCAATCAATCGGAAAGCGAGCAGTCTGAATTCAGTGGAGCAAAGCTCAATGGTGGAAAAGTTATATTGAGGAAAGCGAGGTTAAAGTTGGACAACAAATGCTTAAGTGGAACGGAAGGACCATTTTCAACGACCACCAGTAATACCATGGGAGGAGGTACTAATTTAGGTATATATGCAATATATTTCTTGTTCCTTGACAAATACAGAATTGTATATTGATTATACTTAAAACTTTCTATTATTTAATTGTAATTTTTTTACATTTCAGGATTAACAGGAACTATAAAATGCGGTGTTTGCGGTGCGGTGAGATTTTATCGATTTGTCAAACAGGCGCGCAAGTTTGGCATTCACAGTTGCGAATCTTGCCGGAAGTTTATAAGCAAGATGATCAAACGTCAGGCTTGCGCTAAATCCTCAAACAATGTTCTTCCCATTCTTCAATGTCATAAAGGTGACGGTTTATGTTTAGTTCCACCTGTCGTAAGGAGCCAGCAGTGGAATCTCATGAGATGCGTTTATAAAGCCAGATGTCCGGCGTGTTGGTTGAAAATGTGTTTGAAATGTTATAACATTCCGCCTGCCTTGAGGACAGGTTTGAATGCGTTATTACCACCGTTAATGAGAGATCCTTTAAGCATTTCCTTACCGCTCGATCAAGAAGAAGACGATCAAGGACAAAAGTTGGGTTCGTGTAAACTCAGCTGGCCCGCGGAGGACAGCTCGGAGAGGAATTTATTCAAGTCGGCCATGAGTTGGAGAAACCTCGAAATGGGACAGAAGACGATTTGTCAGGGTACCGGAGGCTTTTTCTATACAAAGATAGACAAATGTAAGACAACATTGATTTCCATTGTAGACATGTGTACATTGTTTCTCATTTTTTTTGGAAATTACATATTTATTTGAGCTTTGTGCGACTGATTATTTTTATTGCAGTTGATTCCTCGATGAGCATATCGCCCAACAAAAAGCGGAGAAAAAATAATAGGATTAAAGTGAGAAAGAAAATTAAAAATCCAGTTCTTGTCTCGTCGTCAACCGGTAGTCAATGCGCGCAACCGCTTAGGCAGAGGCTCGAATTGAAAGGACCAAGAGTCAAGCACGTTTGTCGAAGTGCCAGTGTTGCTCTTGGACAACCTATTGCAACTTTTCCGAATGCAGATGTAAAAGAAGACAACGAACACGGCAAAAACATTCCAAATATGGCAAAGGAAATTGAGAAAATGGAAAAAAGGAACGAAGTTACGAAAGAAAAAGACATGCAAAAACATAACGAAGATAATTCAAATACTAACGTTAACGCAACACAATCTCATCCGAGAAGAGGAAAGCCGCAACACAGTGTGTCAACATCGCATTTTTCAGTGGTAAAATATTTTTCAATATTAAATATTCACAACAAAAAATACACTTTTGTTATTGAAAAATATGTATGTATGTGTAGATAAAAATTTTATACTAAATATATTGTAAATTTTACAATAGAATAGAATAGAAATGTCAATCATATTTGAAAAATATTATTCTTTCTATTTATTTTTACTTGTTTACAATATATTTAGTATAAAATTTTATCTACGCATACATACATATTTTTCAATAACAAAAGTGTATTTTTTGTTGTCAATATTTAATATGCTACTGACTAAAAAAACTACTATAACAATGTTTAAAAATAATATGAAGTAAGTTTATATTTGTATTACGATATTTGTACTACGATTGGTATTTTCTGACGTTCTTGAAAGTTGATCAGATTGAAACTTTTGTTAATAACAATATGTTTTCTTATTTGATAAAGTTTTGGTTGATAGATGAGAACAGCTTAGAATATCCATAATAAATAGCTATTACTTCTTATTTTATAACAATTAAATTGAAATTAAAAGTTGGATATTTGCTTTTATAATCTCTTATTGATATTTAGACATCTTTTATCTATAAATTTTTCTAGCCTAGAACTTCTTTCGTTTTTATTGTATTATTTTTGCAAATTGCCTTTTTACGTACGCTTGATCTTACAGTATTTTATTTATTCTTAAACTTATCGCGCATAATTATAAACTAAACTTGAACTTGAAGAAATTATATTGGTTTCAATCTCTCATATATTGATTAATATTAAAATTTAAATGACACATTCATTGCAGATGTCTAAGGCAGCTACGGATACCTTATATACAATTTCCATAGATTTCTGGGAACAGTATGATCCTTCGGAAGTTGGAGCAAAGGGTTTCGCTCTTATTGGTTCCGAACTATTTCACATATCTGCTATTTGCTATTTGTGTGGAAGCGCTGGTAAAGAGCCAGTAAGTAATCAAGTCCAAAATATCGATCATTAATAAATGGATACGTAATAGTGGCATGTTGTGATCGCTGAAGATTATTAACATAAGAGTGATTCTTTGCAGCTGATCCACTGTCAGTGCTGTTGTGAGCCGTACCACGCCTTCTGTTTGGAACCAAGTGAATGGAACGCTTGTGCACAAGCAAACTGGTGTTGTCCCCGATGTACGATATGTCAGTCCTGCCATCTTAGATCTGGTCCAAAATTGTCCTGCATTCGTTGTCGCCAGTCGTTTCATCATTCGTGTTTATCGAAGTCTGGCGTTAGCTCGAGATTGTACAGTCCCGATCGACCCTATGTTTGTCAGAGCTGTGTTAAGTGTAAGAGCTGCGGTAGCGAAGGCGTCAATGTTCACGTGGGCAATTTGCCCCTGTGCTCCATGTGCTTTAAGTTGAGGCAGCAGGGAAACTATTGCCCTTTGTGTCAGAGATGTTACAACGAAAACGATTTTGACACGAAGGTATGTACGCGTAATCGACAGAATTGTTTTGTGTAAACATTTATCTTCTATTTCAATATCTAAAGGATGATTTTCTGTGATTGCGATTATATACATTTGTTTTTTTTTTTTTTAGATGATGGAATGTAGCGAATGTTCATGCTGGGTGCATGCCCGTTGCGAAGGCCTCTCCGACGAGCGTTACCAAATACTTAGTTACCTGCCCGATTCAATTGAGTTCACATGCAGCCAATGCTCTTCCAATCCAAACTCTATTTGGAGAAATGCCATAGAAGCGGAGCTGAAGGCGGGTTTCATCGGCGTGATAAAATCTCTGAGCAAAAATCGCAAAATCTGCATGGCTCTCAAATGGAGTCCCAGGAAGGAATGTCTCTGCAGGCCAATTTCAAGCGTGAGGAAACTCGAGTTTCCCGAAGATAAGAGTGAAACGAAGGAAAACGAGGAGTCGGAGGAGTGCAACACCGACAAATTCGCAGACACGGATTCGAGTTCGAGTACCAATTGCAAAGATGGCGGTATAAATAAGCCCGAGGTTTTGGAGGAATGTTCGACAGACGGTTCCAGCAGGAAAGGTCTACGACGACTGCGACAAAAGTTTCATCTGAGAGAATGCTCCGTCAGAGTGAAAAATTGTATCCCGAAGGACTGTCAAGACGAGCGAGAGAGAAAAGATTGGACGAACCAGGAGTCGTCGTTGATTCCTTCGAACGACACGGAATGCCACTGTTCCGAGCAGCAGATCATCGCGAGACCTTCGCCCACTTTAATGTCCGTGAAACGAAAGGTGAACGGTAACGAGTACAAATCGCTGTCGCAGTTTCACTGCGACATGGAGCACGTAATTAATCGCGCCGGTTCGAAAGATCTGACGGAAACTTACCACGGTATTCTGCAAGAAGTTTTTCCCTGGTTTACTCCCAACAGCTACAAGTGTAACGACAACAATGACAACGCGACAACGCCTTCGAAGGACGTGTGCAAGAGTACTGCTCTGATCAAATTTGACGATCCCATCCTGGAGGCGTGGAAAGAGGAGGTGACGAAAGCGCCGAAAGCGATCGCGGCGAAAACGGCGAATTTGTACAATATCCATATCGAGGACAGCAGATCGTGTTGCTTGTGCAAGGGCTTGGGCGACGGGCAGGAGACAAAGGAGGGTAGGCTGTTGTACTGCGGGCAGAACGAATGGCTGCATGCGAATTGCGCGTTATGGTCGAACGAGGTATTCGAGGAGATAGACGGCTCGCTGCAGAACGTTCACGGTGCGATTTCGAGGGGCCGTTTGATCCGCTGCACCGAGTGCGGGAAAAAGGGCGCGAGCATCGGCTGCTGCGCGAGGAACTGCAGCAACACCTTCCACTTTTCGTGCGCGAGGAATATCGGGCTCGCCTTCAACGACGACAAAACGGTATTCTGCGCCTCGCATGCGAACAATTATGCGCACAAGTTTCTGCAGAATGAAAACGAGTTTAGTCTGAAACGGCCGGTATACGTGGAGTTGGATCGTAAGAAAAAGAAATACGTGGAGCCGAACAAAGTTAAAGTGATGATAGGCTCTCTAATGATCGACTGTTTGGGGACCATAATTCCGGAATTCTCTGACACGACCGAGAGGATAATACCGTGCGATTACAAGTGTTCCAGACTCTACTGGTCCACAGTGAATCCTTACAAGATAGTGCGATATTATATCAGGACTTACGTGCAAGTTTACATGCCAGACGTTTCATCCGACATGGAAAACAACATCACCATCGACCACACGAAGGAGCGGGAGATGAAAGAAGCGTCGACAGACGCGCAGAGAGTTGATTATCTGGCCGTCAAACAAACTCTAGACACGCTCGTCGATATCGTGTGCAACAAGGAAGCCGATGAGAATCTGGCGGAACAAAATAATACAGACCTTTTGCCGCCGGAATTGAAGGAGGCTATATTCGAGGACTTGCCACACGATCTACTGGACGGGATCTCGATGCAGGATATTTTTCCGAAAATGTCGTATGAGGATTTTTTAGCCATGGATTTGAAGAACGACGGCTCGTTCACCGCAGATTTGTTCAAAGACGACATGCTGCCATCGGAAATCGAAGAGGTGATGAAGCCATCGGAAAACAAAATTTCCAAGATGGATCCGTCTTTGTTGGAACTGGGCTCGCATAACGATCTTTGGGTGCGACTGGAGGCAAAGACCGCGGTTCAAGACCTCATGGATGATCTGTTCAACTCGAAGAGTCAGAAGCGCGGCGGCCGGGAGCTAAAACGATCCAAGTCCGAAGTGATGTCGAACAATCCGTTGATTGTTGGTGGCCACCAGCGACACCATCAGCGCTCTTGCAGCCTCACCTGGAGCTGCAAACTCGACAATACTTACGGCCCTAACATAAAGAGACGGAAATTACCGCGAAATCCATCCAGCACCAAGTCGAGCGAAACGGTGCTGGTTCTGGAAAACGCGCAAAACGAGCGCACGTCCATGTTTCACGAACTGAGGATTCCGGAGAGTATCATGGTCACTGTCGGCCGAGGAAATACATCCAATATATTATCCGACTCTGTACGCGAATTGAAGTACTGCATCGAGGATTCCGCCGGATTGAATCGCCGCATGTTGCCAGTCAGGGACGAGACGAAGGAGCAGAAGAGATTATTCTGGCACCCGAGGCAGCAGCAGCCGCGTATAGTGCAGGTCGACGGGCCGGCTGATGCTAATAGCGCGAGTGAGTGCAGTTCGCCAGAGTACAACGCCGAGGAGAAGAGCGCGGGTCCGCGCGCATTCGAATCGTTGTCCATCCCGCAATTGGACGGCATCACCGACGAGCATTCGTCCGACGCGAGCGAGCTGAGCGCGGAGAAGGATTTTAACTTGCGGGCCACGAGTTTTCTACACTCGAAGCGTATTTTCAGCTTCATCAAGTCGAAGGTTTCGAATGCGAACGACGCGTCGCAAAAGGAGAAGAAGGGCGGCAACGATAATCTCGTGACCGCCTCCCTTCCCAGATGCAGCTTGCGCAAAGTGGAAGCTTTGTTCAAGGAGAAGAGCGTCAAGCTGATGAACCTGGAGATCATCCCCCAAGTGGACGGCGCGGGTGACGTCTCGAGCGACGACGAGTGCGTCTCGTCGCAACACGCGGCGGCGCACGAGAGAATGATTCACGCCGCGTACGAGCCGCCGTTCGAGCACATCGATCGACCCGTCACCTGCAAAAGGTGTTGCTGCACCTACCGCACTCAGGACAGTTACAACCGCCACCTGGCCAACTGCGACATCATGATCACCAGCGACAGCGACTCGGAGACGATGGACAACAAGCTCGCTTCGCCGGAGTCGAGATTCTCGCCGAGCGTGGCGTCGCCGCAGTTCATCACGCTCTCACCCTCCGAAGGTCACACCCTATCCCACACCGATTACACGGACATCCAAGCGACATCGCCCATCGAGGCGTCCGTGCCGTCGCCGCATCCGAGCATCCAAATCGAGCCGATCGCTCAGGCGATCATCACGCCGCAAATTCACACGGCGCACGCCACGGTCGAAACGGTGCATCAAACAGTATTAACATCCAACGACGTGATCGTTCAAACTCAGTACACGCGCAGAACCACCACCCTACCGAATCCAGCAGTATTACCACCTCCTCAGGAGAGCACCGTGCGGATAACGGAGATCACGGATCCGCCGTCTATTTCCAACGATTCCAACGTCACGCACGGTGTAGTGAATACGCCGATGAGCTCGCCGGACAGCACGAGCTCGCAGACCGTTCCCAGCCCGGAGATGTCGCCCACTTTCTCGTCCACCGGTGTGCAGACCGCGCACGAATCGTCGCATTCGAACGTGCAGATCGCCCGAGCGACCATCAAAACGAAGAATCCACGGGTGACGAAACCCAGGACGAAAAACATCAAGTCGCAGCAACATATCATGAGGAACGTGATGCAGACGCCGCACAACACCGCGCACGCCAGGTTTCAGCCCGCGGCGATACAGAGCGGCCCGCCGGTTATCCAGCTGCAGCAGACCGCCCAGAGGCCGACGGTGATACTTCAGCAGGTGGCGTCGCCGGGAATCGTGTCCGCTTATGTGGAAACGCTGCAGCAACAGTCCGGCCAGAACTTGCAGTACATCGCGACAATCGGCGGTGGACAGCACGAGACCGGTATGCTGAAGCCGCAATTGATCGCCGCGAATCCTCTGGTGCCGGGCACCTATATACAAGCGCCGTCCGCCGACAATCTGCTAGCATTGCCGAATGGTGGTATTTCGATATTGCCGAGCGTGCAAATCGCGCAGACACAACCAACGGTACTGGGCACTATCATTCAGCAGCAACCAGGAGCGATTCAGTGCGGTGTCATCTCATCCGAACAGTTGTTGCTGAGTTCCACGCCCACGCTGGAGATGTTCGCCGATCCGACGGGCGGTATGTTCGTGTCGAACCAGCCGATGTACTACGGTCTGGAAACGATCGTCAGCAACACGGTGATGTCGTCCAGCCAGTTTATGACGGGCGCGGTGCCGCAGGTATTGGCGAGCAGCTATCAGACAACGACGCAGGTGTTTCAAGCGTCCAAATTGATGGAGCCTATCGTCGACGTGCAGGCCGTGTCGAGTGTGCCGACGGTGACGGCGGTGCAGGCTATGCAGAACGTATCGGGCGTGCAGAATGTACCCGGCGTGCCTAATATAGCCGGCGTGGCGAGTATGCCGGCTGTAAACGGCGTGTCCAACGTGCCGGCAGTGCCTGGCGGTTACGTGGTGGTGAATCAACCGGCGCCACCTCCGCCGCCACCGCCGCCACCGCCACCAGCAGCACCAGCGCCGGCGACAATATTGGCGTCAGCTCTGGCGACGATATCAGCGCCGACGTTGGGGCCGACACCGCCGAGATCAACGCTACCGCCGGTACTGTCAGCGGTGGATCCAATCGCGACAACGTCACACATGAAGATGTCCGCACCGCGTCAAGAGCAGGCTTTTAACGGCATCGCGTGCAACGGTGCAACCGCATCGTTGATACCGTGTCGAAACGCGACCATGGAACAATCGTCGATACAAGTAGCCGACATAAGCCCGTCGAATGTTTGCGGCACTACCATCGCCACGACATTAACGAGCGTGACGTCGTCGACG